TACTAGTGGTTCTGGCTGGTGGGGTTGAATGGGCAGCTGTAGGTGTGTGGCACTTATATGCTAGCTTTGTAAGATCTTAAATAATTCTGGTAATCAGGATGGTGGTTACAAGAGGTGGGATATGCTTTTCTGTGTTCACTTTCCTGTCTCTAGTTCATCCATGTCCAAACACGTACCTTATATGTACCCAGCTAGGAGTATCAAATGTCTGCAGTTGTGTACAGGGCAGATATTCAGGTTCTGGGTGATTTGTAGCATTTTCAGTGATTATGGACCTCTTATGTTTCAGTCTCGACAGCATCCACAGTGTGCTGCTACTCTACCAACTTTTCACCTGGTATAGGTCAGTAATCACAATTAATTATCCTCTCATGGTCTCACAAGGCCTGGGAACTAGGTTTAGGCCATCCTTGCTCCTTTTGAGTATTTGGTTCCAGTCTCCTACTGTTGAAATATATACCGGTAGGTATCCTGTTAGCAGTGGGGTATGAGGGTTGCATATTATCATAACCCTGAAAACTCACAATTACTTTTGTAGGTTACTACACAACGCCTGTTTCACCTTATACTACTACCTTGCAATTTGCTCATCAGGTACGTCATGATTATCTCGATAATTCCCCCTTCCTCCCTACCCTTTCGGGTTCATAGTACAGGTGTATACTGGCATATAAGAACAGCAGCCTCTAGGTAAGTGTTCTGGCCTTATACGCCTTACGTTAGTGGTCCCGCGAGGCCAACACCCATCCTCATTCGGAGGTACGGCATTCCCTCGGGCCAATACATAGGTAGCCACCTCGCTTGGTTGCATAGAGAGGGCCTCACTTGTCACTCCCATTCTGTCTTATGCTGTTACAAGTCACGTAGAGGCCATCACCCCGCCATAATGTCAATGGCCACATACCCCACACAAGCAAAATCATAGATAGTGCCTCTCAAAGCCGCTTGGCAACTAACAGGGCATCACCTGTCACGTTATTACTTAATAGTTTCGCCACTTGGCATTAGTTGCATCAGCCAGTTGGGTAGTGCCCCAGGTAACATGTTATTTTGTTTTGTAGCATGTCACAACTACCTGAAGGCGGGGAAGAATTGTCCATCCCAGTACACCGGCTAGATGAGTCACTCCATCCCGGGTGACGACCCTGCAAGCCCTGCATCACTCAGGGCATGGACCATTCCTAGGATCACTGCCGAACTGAGAAAGAGGAACATTCCTTTCCCACCAATGGCTAGGAAAGCCGAATTATATAGACTGCTGAATACTCATTTAGAATAGGAGCAACTACTACCGCTTCTAAAAGGAATATATTCCGGTGCACATCATTAAAATATTAGGCCGATGGAAATCCACGGCTTACACCAGATATATTCCTCAGCCAATACAAGAGGTGCGCCTCGCATTTAAGAATATGATTATGTGATATCCTATGGTGTATTGTAGGCTGAATAAACTGGTTACATCTTTTTGCCCTCTTTTATTTCAGGCCTACTACCTCGTCAGTTCCGGCACACAACAACTGACTTTTCCATCCCCTGTTTGTTTTATGTTACTAACGCTTTATGCCCTGACCACAAATGGAAGGCAGGGCCTGAAGTTGTGGGAGGGGCTTGGTTCCCCTTCTTAAGGAGCACCAGCCCTTCCCTCACTACCGTCTTAGGTCTGGTGATTTGTCCCACCCACCACACCTCCTTTTATAAGCATTTCTTAAGGTAAGCCCTCTTTTATTTCAGGCCTACTACCTCGTCAGTTCCGGCACACCACAACTGACTTTTCCATCCCCTGTTTGTTTTATGTTACTAACGCTATGGCTTTATGCCCTTACCACAAATATATGTAAATATATATATATATATATATATTTATTATTCATTATATTCCTGGTGTATCCTGCAAATCCTAGGTGGGGATAATACCACCAATGCCTTTTAAACCAGAACAGGCCATTGCTCTGGACAATGTAAGTAGGATACCACCTTTTTACTTTGAATTTGTGTATGTGCATACTACACCATAAGACCTCTCTATTGTGTCTTCCTACATATATTGGATGACAAGAATCACAGAGCAACATATATCCATAGACAGAGATTGTACCGTCCAGGCGATTAACAACAGAGCTCTTAGTAGCTCAACCAAGTGTGAGTGAGCATTCTATACACTTTATTTAAAATAGTTTAAAGCCACCTACTTCAAACAAATTACAGTTGGTGTAAATATATATTTTTTATATATACACATTGAGTTTTGTATATTTGCACCCAATTCGGGCATTGTTGATCACGTTGTTTGCCAATATTTGTTTTATCAGTGAGATCTTGGGAATTCTCACATATTTAGTGCTGCCAATCTATTCGTGGTTTGTGTAGTGAACTCCTGTCTATTTTTTACTGCCTAATACATACATACAAAAACTTTCTAATACATACACACAGACGTCTGATATATGCACAAATCCACACACATACAGACTACTTAATGTACACACAGATAACCTAAAACATACATACATGCACACTGCCTATTACACACACATGCACAACACACTGCCTACTACACATGCTGTACATACACATACTGCCCAATACATACATACACCATGCCTAATAAACAGACACTGTCCAATGCCTACACAGACACTGTCTAATGCATTCACACACTGCCTGATACATACACACAGACACTGCCTAATACATACATACACACACAGGTTATTTGTGTATTTTTCTTTATTCTTGCTAAAAATTAATTGTATTCTTTGTTGCAACTTAATGTTTCACAGTTTTTTTTGCAGGTTTTATACATCGAACCCAGATAAGACTGCAAGCTTTCCAGGTAAGAAGCACAATAGACCATTAACATGTCTGCAAAGATATCGCCTCACCATTCTTTCTTATACACTTATCAGAGAGCTAGCACGTTTAATGTAGGTTTATTTTGATATCAATGAAATTTCCCTCAAGGGGTTGTGCTTCATTAAATGTGTAACTCTGCCGCAGCTCCTCGATATTAGGGTGAGGTGGTAAGAAGCGTATCGTTATAATACGAACTCACTAACAACTTTTGAAGTGACAATTACCAGCATTCTTTTTACACGTTTCCGTGACTGATTATAGTTTACTTTGAATTCCACAGACGTGTGTGAATCGCTGCCTACAGGGTACATATGTTCTAGGTTAACATGAAAATACCAGAAAGCAGATTTAACATTTATCTGGGGAACTAGAGATATAGACAAGAGAATTGCATGAAATTCTGATAAAATATTAATAATAAAGGAAATAGACTTGGATATTGTTTACGTATCTATGTATTTCTTTAAGTAGTTTAAATTCAATTTCAGTTACACTAATGCCACGTTTAATTATTTTTACTCTTCAATTTTTTGCTTTGTATGTGTTTTACATATGTAACTGTTTTGCATTGCTTTTGAGCCCAGGTCATGCGTGAAAAGAAGATATATCTGAATTGTTCCTGGTAAGGCACATACTGAAATAGAAAATGCATGCATTTTTTTCTTTGGAAAATCTCTATCTCTCTCTCAAACCAGTAACCTGAACTTTACAATTGTAGAATGAGAATATCAGACAATAAATAATTGACATACAAAATATTAACAGTGACAAGAGGCATAGAAGGCCCTGCTCAGAAGAGCTTACAACTTATATGCAGAAAAAGAGATCTTCGTACACTGTTCAAATAGCAAGCAGATTTATTCTACAAGGTCAAGACCTTCTACAACAAGCATGTCAAACTCAAAGTCTGGCACGGGCCACATAAACAAGGTTTAAGTTTATGTGGGACGCAAAATAAATACCTTAAATTTTCATATAAACTTAGGTTTATTTTCAAAAATACAGTATAACCTCCCCCCAGCATCCCCCTCTACTAAACCACAGCACCCCCTCTACAAAATCCCAGTCCCCCTCTACTAAACCACAGCACACCCCTCTACTACATTGTGCCAAATCTGATCCACCCGCTGACACACACACATACTCACTGACAGACACACATACACACACACACAGACACACACACATACTCACTGACAGACACACATTCACTGACAGACACACATACACTCACTCTCACTGACACAAACACACACACACACTGACAAACACACACATACACACACACACTCACTGACAGACACAAATACACACACACATTCACTGACAGACACACACTCACTGACAGACACACACACATACACAGACACATACACAGACACTCACACAAACACACACACACTCACTGACAGACACACACATACACACTTACTGACACACACACACTCACTGACAGACACACACATACACAGACACACACACACTCACTGACAGACACACATACACACACTCACTGACAGACACACATACACACACTCACAGGCACACACACACCTCACTGACAGACACACACATATACCTGACACACACTGACAGACACACACACACACACTCACTGACAGACAGACACACACACACACACACACAGACACACACTCACTGACAGACAGGCACACACCCACTCACTGACAGACAGACACACACCTACTCACTGACAGACACACACACATATACTCAGACACACACTCACTGACAGACACACACATATACTCAGACACACACTGACAGACACACACACACACTGACAGACACACACAGACACACACTCACTGACAGACAGACACACACCCACTCACTGACAGACACACACACTCACTGACAGACACACACACACACATTCACTGACAGACACATACACACACTCACTGACAGACAAACACACACTCACTGCAGATACAGACACACACACTCACTGACCGACACACACATACACACACTCACTGACAGATACACACACACTCACTGACAGACACGCATACATACACACATACACACACACTCACTGACAGACACAGACACACACACACACAGACACGCACTCACTGACAGACAGGCACACACCCACTCACTGACAGACAGACACACACCCACTCACTGACAGACACACACATATACTCAGACACACACTCACTGACAGACACACACATATACTCAGACACACACTGATAGACACACACACACACACACTCACTGACAGACACAGACACACACACACAGACACACACTCACTGACAGACAGACACAAACCCACTCCCTGACAGACACACAAACACTCACTGACAGACACACACTCACTGACAGACAGACACACACTCACTGACAGACACACACATTCACTGACAGACACATACACACACTCACTGACAGACACATACACACACTCACTGACAGACACACACACACTCACTGCAGATACAGACACACACTCACTGACAGACACAGATACACACACTCACTGACAGACACAGACACACACACACATACACAGGCACACTCACTGAGGGACACTCACTGACAGACACTCACCTACTGACAGACACACACATACACTCACTGACAGCCACACACACACACACACACACACACACTCACTGACAGATACACACACACACACTTACACATACACACTCACTGACAGATACTCACACACACACACACTTACACATACTCACACACACACACACACACACACACACTTACACATTCTTGTACACTCATACTTTACTTTATTGCTCCCTACCTTTTGGAGCTGATGTGGGGTGTTACTGTTGCCTCCAGGCTAGCTGAAAGTTGGACTGTAGAAAGGATGCTCCTAGCACTCACCAAAGGACCATCAGCAACGTAGACACCATAAGTACGGCAGATTCCATGAACCACAGCTGCGGGGCTGGTATCTTGCCGTCTGCTATCCACCCTGGACCTATGACCAGGCTCCAGGTTCCAGTGGGTCAACCTCTTTCTTCTGCGCGGTGCGCTGCCGCTGGATGGAAAGACTGAGTGTCAGGGAGAGGAGACACTCCCTCCTCAGCAGCAGTATGCTCTACAAGGAGAAGAGAGCATTGACCTCCCTTTCCCAGCAGCAGTGCACCTACCAGGGAGAAGAGACAACTGGTCTCCCTCCCCAGCAGCAGTATGTTCCACAGGGAGAGGAGAGCAGCGACCCCTCTTCTCAGTGCCAGTGCATCTCCCAGGGAGAGGAGACAACCGTTCTCCCTCCCCAGCGGCAGCAGGAGTATCAGGAGGAGGAGGTAAGCTAATTCTCCCCTCCCCAGCTACCTCCTAACATTGTGCCAGGATGAACAGAGGAGATTTTAACCCCCAAGTATCCCCAGCTATTTGCATAGCTGCACCAGGAAGGCCACCCTTCAACCTTCACCCTACAACCTGGGACCTACAGGCCAGTACTATTTATTGTGGGGGGCTACTCTGTCAATTTTTATTTGTGGGTGGGCTGCGAGACTAACTTAGGCACTGACCGACAGAAGGTCAGGTACCTGGTTAGTCTCCCCCCAAAAGGGGAGATATGTTACAAACTGACTTTTGTAACTGTTTTTTGTGCGTCAAATTGCCCTGTTCCCATGGCTTATGGAAAAGCCTGATTGGCAGCCTCCTGACTATGGCCCTGGGGTGTATGGCCCTTTAAAAACAGTCTATGGGCATATTGAGACTTTTTGTGACAATGCCCCTTTAAGACTGTGTCCCCAGACCTTTAAAATAACTTGTCCTTTTCTTATATGGTTCGGTAATTGGGGCTTGCTGAACCAATTACCGAACAGGTAGACCACACGCAAGTGGAAGTGTGCAGGCAATTTACCTCCCAGCTAGCGGTTAACTGCAGGTTAATTGCTGACCGCTGGGTGGCCGCCATTCGTACAGTCAAACACGTGGCGGCAGCCATCTTTATTTAGTCGAACGCGGTCAGCGGTGTGTGCCGTCAAATTCATGGAACTGAAATCGGCTACAAAACGGCACGAGCACTGCTGACCCTTAGCTTCTCTGCAACTTCGACGCTTTGGCTGAAATTGAAGTGCGTTCGACAGTTATACTGGGCTTTTTGCATGAACGGCTGCCCGTTCGTGCATTCGAATGGGAATTTTTCTGCATAAAATAAACCAAATCTATGGAACTGTTTTGGGCAGTAAAGCAATGCTTTCACTCGGTCAAAAAGGACTTCCACCTTTTATGGAGATTGTATGAATATTTTATGAGTTATGAATATTGTATGAAACTGTGTATTTTCCTGCCTGTGATAATTAAGTTAACCCATTGTGTACAATAATTATATCACAGGCAGAGGGGAGGGTTTGTGTGTCCTAACTGGGAGTGTCTGACTGTATTATTATGTATTTGATTGGCTGTTCCACAAAACCATGTGGGTGGTAACTGTGTGTAAAAACTTGCATAAAAGAAAGCCCTTTGGTGCTGATTAAACAGATATTCTTGACCCTCAACTGGCAGCTTTGACTCGTGTTTGGAGGGGACAGCTATAATCACTACAGGGATTGCTATGCTCTTCATACTCCCTTAGCTACTGAGCTCTTGTAAGAGCTCTTGTTCCTGATCCTGCTTCGCTCTACAGAAGGAAGAGGTTCATCCACTGGAACCCAGAGCCTGGTCATAGGTCCAGGGTGGATAGCAGACGGCGAGATCCCAGCCCAATAGCAGCGGTTCGTGGAGTCTATGGTGCTGATGGTCCTTTGGTGAGTGCTAGGAGCATCCATTCAACTTCCAGCTAGCCTGGAGGCAATCATAATACGGGGCATCTCCCTGGGGTCCTTCTATCTGTTCCTCACTGCTCCCTCGTGTGGTTTAGTGATGCCGGGTGCTGGAATATGACGTCAGATTCCGGCGCCCGGCTTCACTACAGAGGGAGCGCACGAGGGAGCAGTGAGGAGAAGGAACACTGAGCTCCCTCGCTGGCCCTCCTCTCCGGCCAGGTAAGTTTTAGCAGAGTAGGCACCTGCAATGTAGGGAAAGCAGGTGCCTACTCTGCTTTAACATCAGCATGTAATCGTGGCTCGCCGGGCTGCAAAGATGGTCCTTGCGGGCCGCATGCGACGCACGGGCCACGAGTTTGACATGCTCGTTCTACAAGGTCTTGACAAAGACCGTGCAGAAGGTTGCAACATTGCTCTGTTACTTCATTTGATCCAATAAATCTGCCAGCTAGCTGAACACCTCGAGTGCCTCAAGATCTCTTTTTCTGCTACTACATTATATTGGATTTGCTAGTCCTACTGCAGTTAAGCACAGTCTTTTTTGGTAATAGAATTTATATGCATGCATTTTTCTACTGATATTAGTGCATGCTGTGATTACTTGTTTTTTGTGAATACTTAACCTGTTCTAAACTTGAGGTAAGTAAAATCTACATGCAGCAAAAAGTGGTAGCATTTCTAATTGATTTAAAGAAGCGGAGAAAATCCATCTGAACTTTAACAGCTAAAGAAATTTAAGTAACATTCAAGTAACGTACATTCTAATGTTAGAGTTGCCCTTACTTGACTACTACTACTATCTCACCTTTTAAAAAGTTAAAATATATTAACTAGTAACCCAGTGCTGCACAGCCACTTACACAATGATATCATCCTATTGGATTATCTAAGGTCCAATCCAAAGCTTCACACACGAAGGTATTAGGCAACTGCTGAGCAAGTATGGCAATCGCAAAAGTCAACGAATCAAATGCTTGTCATTATATTCAATGCTTCTCTATAAAAAGCACTGCCACATGGAATGCAAAGATTCCCAGTTATTAATATTATAAGTATTTGCGAGGAAGTGCTTTTAGTGGGTGTCCGATTGACAATTACTAGCGGAATGTTTAACGTGAAATATAAACATTGGCGTTTTTCAGTTGTCTGACTGCAGAAACAGAGTATATGCACCAAAACCACTAAAGTAACATGCAGTGGTCTTGGTATTTAGAGCATAATTTTAACGAAGAAAAAACAAGCGAGTAAATAGAAATGTATGAGATCAGAAGATGCAGCATTTAACCATTGTACATGTAAATATAGATACTTTTTTTTTTATTTACACTTTACATCATCCATCAAATTATGCCTTTTTCTGCTGAAGGAAAATTGAATGATATAAGACCTTTAAGTGTTTCTATTGCTTAATGATTCATGATAATCACTCATAGGAGCCTTTACAATTCAATGGTTATAGATATATAGCTATGCATTTACCAAACAGATTTCTGTTAATTTTTTTAACAGAAATCAGGAATGTAATGGAGCGGTTTGATCATAACTGAACTTTAACTTTGTAAAAAATTAATTAGCTATGACAAGTCAGCCAGAAATACCTGAATTAACGAGAATAATGTGATCAATAATTTGTATAATTTGACATCTGTTAGTGTTAAACAGACCATTAGTGAAAATGAAAGAAAAGCATAACAGGATCAGATGCCATAAAAAAACTGGTATCGCCTCTAATTGAAATATGACAGGGAGGTGTAATGTAAATTAAATTGAGTTCTCTCATAAGAGCTTTTACATGGATAATTGACTTACTAGCTTATTAACTCTCGAAATACCAGAAGAACCATCAAAATACATAAATAAATGGTGGGTAAATACTTTTATGGTTATACAAAATTCAATAACATACATTTTCCCAAGGATAAAATGTAAGATTAAAATAAAATGCCTTTTTCCACCGATTTATTTTTATATTGCTCATAATCAGAATGTTATATTGACATGATGAACTCACATGTACATGTTATGATTTGGAAGTAAAAGCATAATTTGAAGAAATATTGTTAAGATTCAGTTATGAAAAAAAAATAGAATTTGGATCTGTTTATAAATAAGTAGATAAATACTGATATATTGTGTTTAAAGGAAACAAAGTACTGTTTTGACACACAATGGATACCTAACATAAAACACTGAAAAAAAAAACAAATATATTCACAGTATTGCTTATAATTTTTTTCCTGCGTGACTAGTGCAGACAGAAAAATATCTCAGGATATAGTCATACGATCAACATTTCCAGCTCAGTTTACTAGTTGCTAGAAAAAAATAATAATAGTGTATCTGAAAAAAAGAGTTGTGGTTGGAAATGCTATTTACAAACATTGCTTGCAGGCTGGATTGTGATCATAGTTCACCTCATTCCGCATTTGCTTTTTCAGTCGTACAACAGTTTATTTCAGTCAAACAATAATCTAGCACAGGGGTAGGCAACCTTCAACACTCCAGATGGTGTGGATTACATCCCCCATAATGCTCTTACACTCATAATGCTGGCAAAGCATCATGGGAGGTGTAGTCCAAAACATCTTCAGTGCCAAAGATTGCCTATGCGTAATCTAGTATATACCATTTCTAGTCTAGGTTTAACCCCTTAAGGACACATGACGGAATTATTCCGTAATGATTCCATTTTATTTCAGAAGTTGTGTCCTTAAGGGGTTAAAAAAGCCCACCAGCCTTCCACTATTAACTGAGCCATCCTGTTACATGTGATCAGATGTTTTTACCAACATTGGGTCTAGGATTGTCTGGACTGCTTTACACTAGTACTAGGCCCTATTGCAATGGATATCTGATGCATTTAGCATAGGCAAGAATATGCGGTTACCTCAATCTGAAAGGTCTCTTTAAGGCATTAAGAAATTAATAGATTGTGTGTGCCTGTTGAAATGAGATGTGGTCTATGTCACTATACCAATGACAATTCCTAAGGAATCCGAAACAAATGTGAAAATATTTTTTTTGCTATACATTTGCCAGTAGTTTGGCTACCATAATCATGATTAATTCTTATCTTTTTCAGGTACGATAAGAAAGGAACTTACCTTTGAGATCACTCCTCTATGAATCTGTCATCTTATTTGGAAAACTGTTAATGATTCCGTGCAAGTTGTAGTGCTTGTTTTGGGTTGTGGACTTACCAACAGATTTCTACAAACTTCACTATGTGTTATTTTGTTTACCTGATACATGTTGATGAGCAGAAAAAAAAGTATCCCATGCTCTCTGTGATGGTGGTGTCATTTTATCATCATTGGTGATCACAAGGACGCAGTGTCACAGGTGACTTGATTGATATCACATGTGTGCATCAAAATAAAGCTGGTATGCTCAGTGCCCTTCATGTACACAGGAGACGCACCACCCACAGGAAGGAGCAGTTCCTATGGTCAGGCTGAAATTATAAAGCCCCAGTCGAGCATGTCCATTGCAGTACTGTGTTATCCTGATGCCCAGACATTATAGACCCAGTGCTATTCTACTCCAATTTCTCTCCTTTGTTCTTGCTCATGCGTCCTACCCATTCCTCATTGTTTCCATGCTTTTTAGAAACAGACCTTTTCCACCATTAATACTTCCTTGCTGCCTACGCAGACCCTAAGGTATCCTATTATTGCCAGCTATATAAGTGGGTATTTTGATCCACAAAAGTTATAAGGCTAAAAGAACCACTTTAGGCACCATAGTAACTTCATATAAATTATGTTGTTATGGTGCTGGGAGGCCACAAACACTCTCTTACCTTAAGGGGTTATGTTGGTCTTGACTGCTTTGACCCCAAAAGTTGTCTCTAGCGCTGATCTCCAGGTAAGTACCTTTTTTATGAATGGGGAGCTACTGATTGGCTTAGCTGACAATGCTATAGTATGGTTTAACCCGTCAAGGTAAGAGAGCGCCAGAGAACCGCCTGACTGATAACTTAATTTAGAAAAAGTTATTGTGGTGACCAGAGTGTTCTGTTAACACTGTAAGTGATTTTGGTTTATTAGTCATGTAGTCTCTTTTATTTAAAAAAAATAAAAAATTATAGCATTGTTGTGTCAACTCTAAAGAATGTGAGCTGAATACAAATTTGTATGTATGTATGCCTATGTCTGTATTTATGTCTCCTTGCTACATAATATATCAGTTTGATACAATGATTCATCACCATTCACTAGTTTTCTGCATTTCTGTTTAAAAAAAAAAAAAAAGGCATAATTTGGTTTAAAAGGTTTTGGCATCTATTTTGTCTACTATCAGCTTCCATTGATTAGGACATAGTTTTCTGATTGCACTTTTTAATTGGGATGTCATTATTGCACTGATATACGGAATGTTAAATTGATTTTTGAGACCTATGGAAATAATAGGCTACTTCTGCAAAATGAAAATCATAATAGATTATTGACTTCAGCATGGGTTTCCTGTTGAAGGACACAATTCCAACGTCAAAATGTTCAATAGATTCACTTTCATGCAAAAAGACCTCATAATTAGTTATATATTAAAAGTTTGTGTAATATTGATTCTTTTATTAATGTGAATTGCGTATGTACAAGTGTCCTTGGGTAGTATAACGCCAGTTGAACTGAAATTTGACCTTCTCCCTCAAGCGTTCTACCTTGAATTTAACAATTTTATTCTCCTGCTGATACAAAACATGCTCGTTGGGAGTAAAATAGGAAGAGGGGTTTAATTCCAGTAATAGAGTTTTTGAGGAATCATGTTTTTTGAGTGAAGGAATTTAGTTGCCCTGTCCATCCACCAATCCGGGAGAAGGAGGAAGTAGTCTCCAGGCTCTTGCTAAGTAAAATCAATTCCTCATCCTTCCAGCATTAAGGGAAGGTAAAATAAAAGCACCCACTGTTTTAACAAGGTTTGACATGGGCACTAGATTACTGGGATACATGGTATATGTTGTAAATGTCAGATCATTGAAGCTTTTTGTATTAGACGGCAAAATAAAAATTCTGTTCGACCAAATAGATTTGCCTGAAAAAATATTTTGGCGTGGATGAACCAAAGTTTGTCAATGTGGCGGACTAAAACCCGTCTGCAGCTTGATAGTTTAACATGTGGAGGCTGGCCGGTACTTGCTTTTCATCCGCCACATTAGAATTTTTTGTTTTTGTAAACCCTATAGGGAGTCACTACAACCCCAATGTTAGCATTTGGGATATCTATTAATCAGGAGAGGTGTTGCTAGGACTGCACAAACTAAAACAAAAGAGATTAAACTTCTAAATAGCAGAGAATTGAGCAGTCATACTGCAAGGGCATGATCTATACACCAACACTGATTTATTAAGCTAAAGTTGTTGTTATAGTGCTTACAGAATCACTTTAAATAAATAAAGAGGTGAAAGTTATTCTACCTGTAAGAACCAAATCCGTCTTGATGGTCACTCATATGACATTTTGCTTTCAATCAACCACGACAAGGCAATTGTCTTAAAATGTCTATATTGTAACAACCTCTCACCTGCCCTTTGCCTAACTGGTCTACTGTATTGTATTCTAGTGTCTCTATGTTCTTTGGCATTTTGAAATAAAAAAAAACAAAACCTGAATGTTGTGTGATATTGGGGAATCAGAGTATTTAAATATTGTAGCAGTCCTCAAATTCTCAAAGAATGTACTCTGAACTACTTCTATAAGCAATGTTGTTTTGTAGTGGTTATGGTGCCAGGAGTACCAGGTGGCCCTTCTCATATAAGTAGTCAAACTGTTTGTCAATGGTGTGAATTCTTACCTGGTTTCTCACTGGGTGCCAGTCAATACCTCTATGGAACCCCAGAACATCCTGCCTCCTTTAATTCTTTGAGCTAAATCCTGTTGTGTATGACCAGCTTAATGGCTGAGTGTGTCAGTAAACGGTTTGATTACTTAAAGTGGGGGGCATCAGGGTACTTCTGGCACTGTAGCCACCCCAGCATGTTTTAGTAATTATGGTGATACGAGTTTTCCTTTAACTCAATGAGATACACAGCTGCTGGAAAATAAAATTATAGTGGGGAAAAGAATGGATTTACTCAGCATTACAAGCACCGCTGTAGCCAAGTAAATATACATACTATTAAAGATTGACCCAGAGACTGGGAGCTCACTAATGAAGAAAAACCCGAAGATTAAAACTGTGAGTACTGTCCATCGTTGATAAAACATTATGTTTGACTTATTGGTGGAGCTGGAGAAGCTTCAAGAAAGTAGAATTTCACTCTGCACCTTAAAACTGCGTTAACTCTTGGTCCAATAAGACTCCATGTAAATTTTAACACCATAAGCCTATAGATATATCTGGGAAGCATATACCTCCCCAACATCATCATCCCATAAAGTGGGAAGCCAGAGAGTGGGGTAAAATGGGGTGGACCAGTGATGCAGTGTTGCTGCCTTAATTGGTCAGACCCGTTACAGTGGAATTTAATTATACTATGTTATGTTAGGAATTATTCTTGAAATTTTTGCACCAAAATATTTTACTGTTTGAGTTTACGGACGATAAATGAACAGATGAATTGCAGGTTTTAAGGCAATATTATTGCTGTAAAAAAAAATGATTTCTTTTTCAATTTGGTCATTTTGACCTAAATTATGCAAGTTTCAAATCAGTTCTCCATGATTCACTCTTTAGTGAACAAAGCCAGCATATATGTGCGGGGTTCCCAAAGCTTTGTCGGTCCACCTTTCTGGATTCCTCAGACTTTTTCAGAAGGCCTCACTGTCTTTCCACATCACTGATTTATGCCTCTTTTAAATTTACAACATAATCTGTTTTCCCCGATATTACAAAAGTCCTATTTATTATTTCACACTCTTTTTTTTAATTAAACTAGAAATGCGGTATGACCTTTTTCTGTATTTATTGTTGTGACCACATGAGACAAAAAATGGAACGGCTGCTGGAACAAAACCTCACAATCATAAACTGTATTGAAAACATTGTTTACGCTTCTATTGCTGTGAAAGGCAGACTGCTCCTATGACTAATAAAGAACTGGAGCCAAAATGTTGTGGTCACACACAGTCACCATAGCACAGCCTGGTGAAGCTAAAAAATGTTATATCTCTTTTGTCAGAAGCTCTGACTGAGATTACAAGAGTCCATAACAGGTGTTTATTTCATTATATTGGGAATGTTCCAGGAAGCAAGTTATTGATAATTGCTGAGAACAAAGCCAGGTCCTCTAATCTTTGAAATTCAAGACTAGCTGCTGGAAACTTGAGTCAAATAAATGATATATTAATAGAACATAAATAGTATGTATATATGCTACTCTACTAGCCAGATCTTAAAAGCTACTTACACTAGCCATAGCATACTCACCAGGGTTACATATTGAATCACAGATGGCTAGTGGCAAGTGGAAATTTTGATATTTTGTTTTTCTTACCCCTCTGGGTATGTTGTGCATTACTCATTTTTGGGTCTTTCAACAGAGGCATGGGGTTCTGCGCAGTATCTCTTCTGGATAGAGATGTGAGATGTTCTACCTGAAATCTGCTGAAGTCACCCTCCCATTTTGGGGTTTACAACCCCTAGTGATCCTATCACATCTAAGACCACCACTTCACTTTCCACATCCTTTCAAACTCCTCTTAAAGTCCTTGGTATTTGTCCACCATGTTGTTTCCCTTCTTCTTGATGTTATGGTCAGTGGGTATTTCCACATCTACTACCACTACAGTTTTCTGTTTCTTGTCTACCTCCCGATGTCAGGTTGGTTGGATGGTACTTGCTTGTCAATCTGGACCTCAACTTCTATTGATCTGGTACTGACTGCCTGAGAGACTACAAAGCCACAAGTAATATGCATTAATATGCAAATACACATATACAACAGAGCTCACAGCAATGTGCAGAGTGTACTGGGAGATTACAGAACCCTCCGTAATCTGCAGTGTGTATGGAGCGATTACAGAGTATGCCCCCAGTAGTGTGAAGTGTATATGGGAGTATGTAATACAGATTTTGAGAGAGACTGGTGGAAAGGAAAGGCAAGACCAAAGTAAAAGAATTGGAAAATAGAGACCGGTGAAAAGAAAAATAATTTTGCATAAATATATGCAAGGATGTGATATACAGTAACCATCCAACTGAAGTATATTGAAATCTGAATTGCAAAACTGAGACTAAAATAACTATGCTGTGACTACACTTGAGGTGGAGAATTCTCCCAATTCACTGTTTTTGCCTTAAATTTTTGAATACACCACATATTTGATATAGGGGAAAGGGTGGCTAAACCTAGGGTTCACATGCAGATGTTTCGCATAAGTGAATGCAATTATGGGTTTATGTATGCCCACAATTGATATTGTATATGGGTACACGGGTAAAGTTGTAGAAATAGTAAAAAGTGTAAAAAGACATTTCTGACGACTGTTTTCAGTTTAGGTAGCTAGCTTGTGCACAGCCTAACTAGAGTCTCTTTTTTTCTGGTCAAAGGTATATATTGGGTAAAGTAAAAAAAGAGGGAAGCAGAGCCTTAAGGATGTTCTCCAGTCCAAAGTCAGAGTGGGCTGATATGTAAAACAAGAGGACTAGAGACCAAATATAGAGTAGTATATTAATTTTATTGGTTGGGACACTTCTAAAGTTTTAAAAATGTCTGTAACATCCAGTTAAAGAAACACTCAAAGCACCATAACCACTACACTCTGCAACCCTTATTTGCAAGTAGTCAAACCATTTTAAAATGGTTTGAGTTCTTACCAAGTAAAACTGTTTGACCTACAATGGGTGGTGCCAGAGCATTCCTGACAACATAACACATTGGAGTGGTTATGGTGCTTGGAGTAGTCCATTAATTTACTTGTGTAATTAGGATCATTAATGCTTTCAGCTTAACACCCATGAAACCCTTAATTTGGTACTGCATACCAAGAAGAGGATAAAAAAAAAATAAAAAAATTCTATTTCTCTTCTTTATTGGCAATGTTTGCCCTGACTTTGCTTTGTCTTAACAGGATTTTGATGTAATTTGCTACATTATTAATATAAATTTAAAAGAAAGCAGAGCATCTTTAGAAAAAAAGGTTCACACAAGTTATACGTGATTTTCAATGTTTTGTTGAATGATGTAAATTCCAAGTAATCGACAGTTCCTCTTTAATGGTAGATTCATATAAATGCTGGGGAATTCACTAAAAACTCAATATTTGAATTAACTTTGTTGTATACAGCTCACTATTGTAACCCCAATATAAATGTTTCTAATAATTCAGAAGGTGTTATACTCAGTTATGTTCTTACAATCAAAAGTCCACTGAGAAGTCAGAGGAACATTTTTCCAGTTACTTTTAATTTCTGCTTGTTTTTGTTTCTTAGAATCTTGTGTCTCTCCATAAACTAGCATTCTTGCATGTTTCCACAAAATATTTATTAGCTGTTAAATGTGCATTTAATTACAAGATCTGCACTAAACAGCTGTCTGACCAAGCACGCTTCTTCATCATTAAAGAGAATAATTTTGAAGAATAATTTTACTAATGTCCACGATGGGTCATGGACAGAAGAGCCTCTATACACTGTTGAATAGTAGCAACAGCACTATAACACACCTTAATTTCAAGTACAGTTTCCTTTTTCCCAAAAAGCAAACCTTATGCAAGCCCAGAAAACAGGTGACAACAACAGCTGTGAATAGTATGATCATATACCTCCACAGTAAAAACAACTCCTATTTTACATATTTATATTACAGTTTAAACAGTGTGTGTTCAATGTCTACTTGACCATAATAGCTAGTTAGTCTAACTGACTTAATATTTTGTATAAACAGTTAGGACGATTAATGTAGATCTGTTAACTAATATTGAATATTGAAGGTTTGTGCAGATCTGTTAATTTAAAGGGTCTTTGCATATTTTGCAAAGACCCTGTCCCTGAAGCTCCAGTGCCACATCTTGCTGGAGAGGCATATCAGCTAGCCTTCTGCCCACAGACTATGGGCCTGGTCACAAAATGTAGAAACTGACAGATAAGTCTTTACATTTACCTTTCACAGCACTCTGATTGGTTGGCTTGGAATCCAACTAATCAGAATGCTCTGAATCATTTTACACAGCGTGGGAAAGTTCTTTCGAATTTTCCCATGCTGTATAATTTGACTCATAATACTCTGATCGGATGCTTCTTTTTTTTTTGGATTCAAAGCCAACCAATCAGAGTGCTGTCACCTGTCAGTTACCTGTCAGACTTGGTTACTGGTCAGTCTATTCATTTACCTGTCAAGGCACACTGATTGGTTGTCTTAAACCAACCAATCAGAGCACTCTGAGCCTAATTGCAGGTGGGAAGACCATAGGATTGTTTTTTCAGTAATTTTTTTTATTTGCGCTCTTTTTTTTTTATTTAACAGTTGCGACAGATATTACGGATTTTTATTTGGCCTTTTTTGGGGCTGAAGAAAGAAAAGAAGAGAAGACATCTAATGGTAAGTATGGCATTTTATTTTACAAGGTTAGTTTATTGCCCCCCCCTCACTATTATTAGGGTATTTTTTTTGGGGGGGGGAGTGACTAGGGTCTTGGG